CGGAAGAGAAGAGTTGAGCTTCTCGAAGCTCACGGGAAAAAGCTTAGTGGTGGATGAAGTGTTCTCTGCGGGGAAGACACAAGGAAACAAAAGGTGCTCCGTGCGGTGGTGTGAAAGCGAGTGAGATTTTATTTTAGCTTCGTTCACTCCTCGATAGAGTTGAACGGAATGGCGGGAACACAACCGTCGATCCGTTTCGGAACCTTCCCTTGGAATTGACAAACCCTGACGGCCCGGACCTACACCAGAAATTCGTCCGCGGCTCCCCCAGAAAAGCCTCGCGGCTCCTAGGGGAGCCGCGGCTACCAGGTTCGGCGGCTCCCCTAGAAAAGTCCCACTAACATCTTCCCACCAAACTAACATCTTCTCGACATCAACGACGATCTGATCGATGCCATTCGCAGGGAGACCGGAAGAGGACCCAGGACGGGTCTCGTTGACAGGCAGGAATTTTTCCTCTAATCTGCGTTCGTCCCTGGAGTCTTGCCGCATTCGAGGTGGCATTGCCGCTTCCATCGACGATTTCAATGTCAACGCGTAACTTGCCATCGGAATCCCGTTTGCGGCAAGGATTGCAGTATGCCCTTGCACGAGTGTCAAGAATTTCCGAACACAGGTGAAGTCGTAAGGTCTCGTAATCCGGGGTAGACTGCGCAGATCAGTGAGAATCTTCTGGGTCTCGGTCTCGATACGAGAGTAATTGTTCTCAAGTAACGTCAGTGCGACCTCGTAATTCGCATCCGTAAGCTCGAGCGCTTGCACGATTTGCTTCGGCTCATCTCTGAGATATTTTCGAAGAATCATGAGTTTCTCTACCGGTGCGGCATCAGGTCTCCTGTTCACGAAGCACCGAAATTGTGTGATGAACGAACGAAATTTTAGACGGTCACCGGAGAACGTTTCAGGCGAGATGTCGAGTTCGCGCGGAAGTCTAGCAACCACCGACGACGGAATCTGTTTACTGACCGGGTATTTTTCCTCGATCGGCTCCGACGCTCGCTGATCAGCACTGGCCTCGCCCGCCGTCTGGTTGAGCACCGATCCGAAACGGACTCTTCTTTTTGCACACGGGGTCGAATAGAAGGTTTCTGCCTTCCCGCTGCTGTCTTGCTGAGGGAGATTTATCGTTATCTTCGCAACAGACTCCGAGATCTCCAGGTCGAACTGAGGCGCCTCCGCCAATCCTTTCTCCTGCTGATCGTCGTCGTCGAGTAGGTCCCAGATTTCGTCATCCCAGGCATTAATTTTTGCCCTGAGCTCGCCGGTGACAGCGAGAACGATTCTCGGACCACTGTCAGCCAGGAATTCCGGCGAACTCGAATCCAAGTTTCTTATTGAGGAAATCTCCGTTCTCACTTGGTTGCGAAAAACTGTTCTGTTGTATCGGGCTCTCTTGAGTGCTTTCTTTATGGTCTTCTCGTCGAGAACTTTTTGCTGGACCGTTTGATCGGACAGGTTGTCTGCGTTGTGTTGAGTTCTTTCAGTCATCGTGTGGGATTTGCGGTTGACGTTGATGAAGTTGAGTTCCTCACGTCGGCACGATTTGATCCTGGTCACGGCACCATGTTAAATTTCTTGGTCTCGAGTAGGCGTACACTTAATTTTATGAATTTTTCTTAGAGCCGCACAGGAGGAGAGTGACGACGCGTAACGTAGTTCGATCAACTCTGTTTTTATTGAGAGAGAGGGGTGATTGGCATGCGCAGGGGCGCGAATATTCCAATGCTTTCTCTGAATGATCTTTTAATGTTCATTGACACCAAGTGTGTTCTCGTGAATTACGGCAGGAGCTTTGGGTCCTTCTCGAGAGACAGGTGCATTGCAGGATTCACATGAATCCTTCATTCATTGGGAAACACATCTTTCAATGCTCTGTGGAACTCCCTAGGCACAAGACCCTCACGGTTCGAAACCTGATCACCGTCCTTCCAAACGCTCATGTGTGGGAAGTTGGTGAGAAGTTGTGTCATTCGTCGACAACAGCTTTCCGGGGTGCACCTCTCCAATCGCTCGTTGAGCGGGATGGGACATTGGGCCCATCTTGTCGAGAAAAAGTGCCATATGTTCCAGAGTTTCCTGCCGGAATAAGCTTCGAAGATGAGGAAGGCTCCACTTTCGACACGACATCGGTCCATGGCATTTAGAGGCAGTACTCCCAAGGCGAGAGTATGGAGTGTAGGAGAAGAAATGTTAGGCCTTAATGCCGCGCCAAAACTCGAGGCCTAATGGAACTTCCTCGCAGTTTCATTGAGTTTTGGATGCCGTTAGAAAGCTTTCAAGACATTCATGGCACAACGTTGGAAACGCGCACGTGATCCGGTGAGTGGGGCTTCCTGTTGCTTTCTGGAACTCCTTGGACTTCCGAAAACTGGCATTTGCTGAAACAGTATGTTGGTCCTCGCCTCTTGAGTCGAATCAATGGGAGTCCGGGAGTAAGGCTTTTTTTGATGGAATGCTTGCACGCTGTCGACGATGGAGAGCCAGTCTGTTCAATCTCGAGTCATCTCCGTCGCAATTGCGAGATTTCTCATCGGAAATGGGAAAAGTGACGACAGAGGATCGCTCTCGAGCAGCACTTTCTTCCATTCGAAATCATCCATTTTTCGTTTCATTTCATTTGGATAACGATTTTGGAGTTCGCTTGTGTCAGAGCATTACTCGCGCTCAAACCTTTCGCACAGAGGTCACGGTCTCTAAAGCAAGTCGCTCAATAACATTCTCAGCCGTTTGAATGGCAGCATCAAACTTCTCCGAAACCGAGCGCAGTTTCACCGTCATCGCTTATCTTGATAACAATCGATCGGCGATCGCTGCTCAGAGGGCGTTTCGGCGCCATTTCAATCTCGGACCTCGCGAGCGAGTCCCAAGTCGCGCATCCATTCAATCCTGGACGGATGTCTTCCTCGAGACCGGAAGAACCGAGAGACCAAGATCGCGTACCCGCACAGTGCGCACCGTCGCCGAGATTGAGCGGGTGCGACAAGCGATTTCCCGGTCGCCGCAGCGATCCGCGAGGAGGCATTCGAGTTCTTTAGGAATTGCTAGGACCACATTGGGAAGGATCCTGCACGAAGACCTCGAGCTCCATCCCTACAAGCTCGCTGTGGCCCAAGAGCTCCGCAGCGGTGATTTCATTGCGCGTCAGCGAGCTTGCATAGCGCTCCGCGATCGCATTCCCCTCGATGCCGTGGTGTTCTTCAGTGATGAAGCTCCCTTCGAGCTGACAGGTTGTGTAAATCGTCGGAATATGCGATATTGGAGCGCTCAGAATCCGCAACAGCTCGAGTCCCGTTCAGTCTTCTTAACCCTAATGTAAAATAATCTAGGCTGAGAAACCCCGTTTCGCGGGGGAGTGTTAAATTTCTGGAGATGAGAATAACTTTGATAAGAGCGCGCGATCGCGCCGAGAGAGAGGACGATTGTCCAAGTCCGAAACATGCACGTGATAAAAATAGAGAGTGATCAATTGATCAACAACAATGCAGGTGAGTTCAGACGGAGCGTTCTGTAACTCCTCGAGTCATAATTACGGTCTGGCGGGATGGTTTCGGAAATTTCGCGGTCGGGGGAAAATCCTCAAACCTTGCCGCCCAGGGAGTCAATGTTCGGGGAGCTGTATCTGGAATCGTCCAAGTTCTTGGCTGCTCAGCCTCCTGGCGACTGGACCCGTCAAGCCAAATACAGTCTCTTCTCGATTCAGTAACCACCCAGTGTAGTAACGATTCCAAGTAGGCGTCGGCCACATCCAACTTTAGAAAGACATTGTTTCCGGAGAACTTGGTTATGACTCCCTTCATATTCGGTAGCGGATGGTCGATATCCACGGGAGCTTCATCGAGTCCGAAGTCTGTTGAGAAGTTGAGTCGACGAGACCCACGCCTGGTTGTGAATTCTCGACTTCCCAGACCTCCAAGCCGAGCTGTATCAGCAAGCGACCGCAGAACAGGCTCGATTCGCCCCCCATGAGAACGAGTAGAGAATCTTGGATGGAATTACCGTTGGGAGTGAATTTCGTTATGGAATAGCCTATTAGCTTGATATCATCACCATCGACAGAAGTGCATCAGCTTCCGATTTCAGTGAGCGCCAAGCACCCGAGAGACGTCCCAGTCTGAATCCCAATGGTAGAGATGATAGCCCCAGAATCTGCGCGGAATCCGATGGGTGACCCGTTAACGTCGAGCGTGATGAATGATGAACGTCCGACCCTTGGAAAGTTGCGGAGTTCTGAGCACCTTGTCGATGCAGACGGCCTTCGACCGCACGAGTTTTTGACAAACGCACAGCGCAAGACGCTTGATCCTTGAATGACTGGCGACCGGTGGCTTGAGAAGTCTTCGCTCAGCGAGGTGGCGAAAACGGTCGGAGTTGGGTTCTCCTTCGTCGCACTGTACTTGACTTCAGCATCGCTTGTACCGGTCTCATATCTCTCTAACCGAACCCCATCAGCGGTTACCGAAGGTTTGTCGTCGAGGGGCCATCCGATGGTTTCTCCATGTTGAAGCTCATCATCATCGGTAGTTCGCCCCTACCGAGACGATGGCCCTGCCCCTCCCCAAAAAAAAATCCTGGGCACGCGTCTGCTCAGAAATTGAAAAGTTATATTGCCCATCACGTCTTAGGCGGTCACATGAAGGATGCTACTGTCTTGATTCTGGAAGATCGGTACCGTATGTAATCCGATAGGAGTACCGCAATCGAAATAAAAGCCTGAGAGCAAGCAGAGCAACAGTCGACCCCAGGGTGTTAGAACGGATTGACGCGAATAGAATGCGGAAATACCGCTCGATATTCCAAGCTCGAATGATTCATTTGCTCGCTCGGACATTCTTATTTCTCGACCGACGCCATGATCTCTACGGAGTCCTGGAGCACCCGATCAGCTGTCCAGCTCTCTCACTCACTCACTCTCTCTCACCACTCACCCGAAAAACGCTCAACAGACCCCCATCTTCGGATCTTCGGAGTCAATCATAACATCAGCCTGCTCTCGTCGAGTCAGTGGTCGAAATTCAAGAGGGCGCACGTTGTTCCGCTCATCTGGATAATCGTGAGTCAAATCTCTTACGATCAGAAGCGGAGAATTCGGTCACCCGAAATCTCGACTTCATGGTATCCCCTATACGTTGTGAATATTCCGCGATGGCAGACTCAGAAGATCACGGAGTCTCCCCGGTCGCACAGCTTCATAGAGGGAATGCTGCGTTGCGAATATACGAGAACGATGCGATATTCGCCGGCGCTCAGATTTCGAGCGACTCCGGAGGAACTGCCCGTGTCCGTGCCGCGACGTGGATCAATGATCTCAGAGTCTCCCGGCGCCGCGGCGGGTACCGATTTCAGCGGAGCAGCTCTCAGCCTCCAACGCACAGGCTCCTCTACGTGGCCCGACAGATCGAGAAATATCTATGAACGATCGAGCTTCGCCTGGGTTGAGATTCAAGTTTGATCACCGGTGACTCTTGCAGGTTGGGACAGCAAAGGACAGCAGCGAGAATGGAAGCCTCACCTAATTTTGGAGCCCACAGCGCCCCAGGATCCCATCGAGACATCGATAGGATAGGAATCGACTTGAGGAACATCAAACACGAATGTAGACCGCCCATCTTTATCCGTATTCTAGTTATATTCGTAATCCGATTCTTCGACTGCTTCTAAAAATAGTTTCCTTCATCTAGTGGCAGACATGAGTTTGAATGACCATATAGGCAGCGTCAACCTTATCATGCCAGGTATGTTCTCGTGAGTTACGGCAGGGGCTTTGGGTTCTTCTCGAGAGACAAATGCATTGCAGTGTCATTCCCGGTTCCCGAGCTCTGGGCCCCTTATTATACATTGTTTTCCGATTTCCAGGCTCGGCTGATATTGTGATGCCTTCTACCGCCCTAGTTCGGTCCGCTAGCGTCCGAGAGCCGCAGGCTCCCCCCTCTGGAAGACGCGGACGCAGAACGACAACACCGTATCAGGTAATGTGACAAGTTTCCATTCATCACCCCCAACAAATCGGGAACAGGTCAGCCAGATCATTGGGCCCAAGTCTTCCCGACGAAAAATCTCAAGTCCAAGCTGACCCTCGACTTATCAGCCGGAGTCACAGAATTTGCCGTCTCAGCTGTTCCGGAGTCCAATCGGCGAATCCGGTGGTCCAGATGAAAATCATTTCTTAAACTGGATAGCATGTGATCGACGGGCACTTTCGAGTTGTCTGGGAAGCCACAATGAATAGTGCTGGATATTTAGCGCGATCGCGCGAACTTCGTAGAGGCTTCTGGCATTTTCAGGCCGGAACGAGCTTATCAGAATCTTCCATTCGTTCCAGTAGATTTAGGAACTGGGAGATAGCAACCCGACGGTAGAGACAAAAGGAAGGAGTAGTGCTGTACGCTGAAAGTGTTTGAGAGTACCCTTCGAGATCTGCCCCCGAAAACCTTGCAGAGATCCGCTCTCCTTTTATCAAATATACAAATGGACCCGAGCTCAAGCTGGATCGTGATATCTCAGGTGTTTCTCTTCGTTTCCTCTTTCGACGAGAGAAGCCGCAGATGTCTTGGAACCCGAGTACGGTTCCATGAGGAGACGTGCAAGACCTAAATACCAGGCAGCTGAATGAGTGTTAAATTTCTGGGAACGAGAATAACTGTGATAAGAGTACAGAGCGCGCGATCGCGCCGAGAGAGAGGACGATTGTCCAAGTCCGAAGTCCTGGCCGTTGCCAAAAAAAGTTCCCCGGCTCGGGACACGACATTTTGGTGCCGTGACCAGGATAATCACATAACGCAAGGAAACCGCAAGTTTGAAGAATGCCTCCGAAGAAAGCCTCGCTGGGCTTGACCGACGACAACGCGTCGCGGGCCACGTCGACGGAGGAAGACGCCGAGAAGATGCGAAGGAACGACCTCAGGAGCACGCGAAGACTACGCACAATGACCAGGTCGACTATGCTCGGTGAGCTCGAGTCAAACCTCATGTTCCCGGATGACGACCCTGAGATCTCGATCCGGCAAATCGCACGACATGCCGCGATGAACTCCACGAACGCTTGAGCAACTTCTCACTTCAACCAGCAACTTCTCCAGATGTACAGGCGTCAGACCGCTCATATTGAAGACTTGATTTGCGATCTGGTTTTCCAGTGCCTCCACAGCTCTGGCGTAAACTCCAGTTGATTCCGAAGACGTCTCGAGGTATCATGTCCCTCTACAGCTCTGGCGTAAACTCCAGTTGATTCCGTAGACGTCTCGAGGTATCATGTCCCTCGCATACAGAGCGATCAGTGTCCCCAACGGAGTCTGAATAGCAACCTATCATCAGGGTCGACCAACGATCCAACCATATCTCCAGTCTCGCAAGACGCACAAAGGCAGGGTCCTCTTTGTTCGTTCGTGGTTACTGATCATAGATGACTTAAGACTCAAGTGGTGAGCCTGGCTTGAGACTGACTACTGAATAACTTCGTTCATTCTTTTTATACACCGTCAAGAGCCGCCGACTCACAGCGGGACTCCCATTCACCCCTCCGAAAGAGTTGTCCCTCATGGGACTGAAGATGTAATCTCTTTTTAATGGACAAGCCCTCTGAACCGCTCGATCGTCCACCTAAGATATCCACTTCGGAACTCTATTGGAGAATTGGATCTCCGCAATGACTTAGGGGCCGGAGAACTTGTCCGTATCACCCAACTCCGTGAGGACTTAGTCTCCCGTTGCATAATTCGGTATTTTCTGAGAATGCCTCTAATCGAAGTTTTTTCTGGGATTTCCCCGCCGCGTGTTCTTCTTCGGGAGATTCCCTCCGTTCCGTCAAACGCAACCGATTCCGAATACCTAACCTTTCATCAGCCGGGAGATATGTTACTTCAGCCGTCAAGGCAAAACTCGGCGAGCATCCTATCGTGTTTCTATGAGACCGATTATGATGTCTCGCGGTCCCTGGCGGCAGCCCAATCCTCGACTCTCTTGCTTCCGAGGACTCTCGCTTGATCCGATGCAACTCGGGTGTTCTCGAAATCTTCCTGTTTCAACAAACTGATCACTGTCTGCGCGATTTCTCGGCCAGACCGAGCAATGGCAAACCTCGATTTGCCGGCGTCGGTCTGGCCGAACTTCCGATCGACGGCGAACGAGAAAGCACGATTCTGGTCACCGTACATCCATCGTTCACGAAACTCGATGAGTTCAAAATATTTTCACATGTTTCACAAGCGGCGATGATAAATATTTATTAATTATATTATACAAGCGTTCTGAGCCACTATGAAGACTGAGAGAGAAAATCCCGAGGGAGGAAGGATACCTAATGGGGAGGAAGGCACTGAAAAATGTAGCCTTTGCTGCGTCTTCCCTCCGGCTCCGACGGTTCCATTCTCGTTCGGGTTCATTCTGTGAACGCGAAGTGCGCCGATTGGCTCACGAATCACAACCGCGGTATGATCGGGGAGCGATTGCGAGGGAAGGTCAGGGTCGTTCAACATCTGTAGAGCGGCGATGTTTTCGTAAGTTTCTCCCCAAACAAACGAAACAATTTTCGTTCACTGAACGAATTTCGAGTTCCCTGTCGGGGCATGCTTCTCTCTGGGGAGCATCATCATGCACTCGTGTTTTGACGAGAGAGCCTCGTAGAAGCCGAAACGTTGTTCGAACCGGGACGTTGTGGAGCCATCCATCTCTGGGCTTCATTGACCTTTGTGATCTTCGAATGAATTTCCAACGACCTTTGGTTTAGCTCATTGCCGAACCGGAATCAAACTTTCGTCACCGTGACGAGTATTCATTTCGATCGCGGAGGGGCCGGCGTCTCACTGTCCTGCGCGCCGCATTCGCCCCAGCTCCGTCTCATCTATCCGGGCTCGTCAATCCGTTCAAAGACAAAAAGGAATCAGGAAAAATCAAAGCTCTTCCTCGGTCAAACCAGGTGTCTTGTTCTTCTCCGTCTCTCGTCTGAGTTCTGCAATCGCATTGATACATTCAGATAGAATCATTCTTGAGATGATTGCACATAATTTGGGGCATCTACGTCCATGGCACTCGAAGCTTGTAAATTCGACAAATGTAGTGCCTCAAGAACGAAATGACAAGTCGCGGCCTTAGTCCCTTCTTGAACGGACATTTCCATTCTTGCAGCGCCGTATCGATCAGCTAGAAGAAAGAGTAGGGCAGCTGATCAACATTGTTGCTCAGCAGCAACAGCAGCATCATCAGCAGCAACAGCAGCATCATCAGCAGCAACAACAACTGATTAACATTGTTGCCCAGCAACAGCAGCAGCAACGACAACAACGTCGACGACGAAGGCGACGGCTTCGTCGTCAACGACAACAACAGCAGCAGCAACAACAACGACATGAGATCCCTTCGGAACTCGTGGAGTTTGTTGGCGAGTTTGACCCGTAAAGGTCAGTATTGTAGATTGCCGCGCGGAGGAAATCTTTGGAGACGGGGGCAAGGTACTCCCGCCGATACGGTCTGTGAGAACCTCATAATCGAGGCATACACAGACATTCTCGAAATGATTATCTTTAGCTCTGCTTGGATGCTGTGCTGAGGTTGAGCGGTTCATGAATTTTAATCTACTCGCGGCTGATTGCTCGGACCTCGGTAACCCCATAGTCGAACAGCTATGGGGACACTGACGTGAGCAAGATTCCGTTTCGGACACATTCCGGAGATAATCCGTAGCTGACTTTGGTTTCCTCTCTACTCGATGCTGATGATTCCGAGTGAATC